ATAGTCCACAACATAAACAAATGTAAACATCTTTGCCTAGTGAAAATGCTATTCCACAACAAACCTCCTCCTGCATCTATGCCCCCAGTGCTGGGACTACAGGTATGCACCAACACACTGTGCTGTTCTTTAGACTGAACTCAGGGCTCCATCTGTGCCAGGGAAGCGCTCTACCAACAGAGCTACACCACCAGCTTGTGTCTCTTATTGCTCCGTGAGAGTCCTTTATGTAGATAGAATGGACAAAAATCCCTCTTCAGTTAAACAAGGTGCACGCATCTTCCCTTGGCTCGTGGCTCACCATTTTGCTATTTGTCTTTTGAAAGAAACAAAGAGTGTGATTGCCAATGTACTAACATTGACCTTTAAAAAGGATTCATTTATTTCTATGTATGTGTACGAGTGTCCATATATCATGTGTGTGCACATGCCCTGGAGGGCAAAAAGAGGGCACTGGATGTCCCTGGGGATGGAGTTGCAGGTGGTTATGAACCACTGATGCAGATGCTGGGAACTGAACTCGGGTCCTGTGGAAGCCATCAGTTGCTCTTAGGTGCCCTCTCTCCAGCTCCTATTGGTCTTAAAGAAATAAAAATCCATTTGTGCTTTGTGAGAAATCCTTCCCAACTCCAAGGTCATAGGAAAACCTCCTATGCTGTTTTCTAAAAGTTTTATTTATTTTATTTTATGTTCATTAGTGTTTCACCTGCATGTATGTCTGTGTGAGGGTGTCAGAAGGCCTAGAACTGGAATTACAGACAGTTGTGAGCTGCCAGGTGGGTGCTGGGAATTGAACCCAGGTCCTCTGGAAGAGCAGCCGTTCCTCTTAACCACTGAGCCATCTCTCTAGTCCTCAAAAATCTATTGATATTTTTATTATAATGTGCTATGTAGATTCAATATAGATTGAAATGATATCTTTATAACATTCTAATGTGGATAATTGTCTCATATTTTAATTGTTGCTGCATCTGAGTTATAACTACTTTGAACTACTATTATCTGAATCCCATTTTTATTAATGTTCCAGAAAATGTATAGCCTTTGTTAATTTTGGTTGCCTTTTAAGATTGATTTCATTATTCATCATTAATGGTCATTATTTGATTATGATAAATATACATAGCATAAGCCTGACTGTGTCTACCATTTTAAAGTTTATATCCAAAGTGCTTTTCTGTGGTTTTCAGTACACCTGTATTATAGTGCAGCTACTACCACCATTGATCTCCTGTTCTTCTTTTCCAAGGGCAACTCATTACTCAACTCCCACCCTTCTGCCCTTCCAACGCTAAAGCCCACTTCAAGCCTGCTCCTGGGACCTCTTCTAAGAGGAATTCCACACAACATGTTACTTCTCTGACCGCCTGACACCCCTGAGGTGAGTGTGAAGAGGAAGTCCATTGTAGTTTTGGTCTGTGTTTCTCTCATGTGTTAAGATGCTTCCAAGAATCAAATTTGGGCTTTGTAATTTATCCTCTTGGTATACACGTTGTCCTTTTGGTCTTTATTTTTCCTTCTGTGACTTTCCTTGGAGATTTAGTCTGCGGCTTACACTTCCGGCACTGGATGCTTGTTACTGATATAAGTGCCATGGATTTGGAACTGGAAGTGTGTGGCATATACCCAGGAGGAATACATACAGGTGGATAGCTTTGTAGAGCCTGGGAGCTACATGGACTCTTTTGTACACGTCTATATGGAGCATATAGGCTGAGAACACTACATGTCTTTCTCTGAGGTTACAGGTTTCTTTCAGTCTGTTTTTTCCCCTCTGTGGTCAAAATGTCAGAGGGATGGGGTTGGGGAGCCTTAGAACACAGGGGAAATTCTAGATGGAGTTATGACAGGCAGGGAGGGCAGTCGCTTTTGGTACATCAGAGATGAGTGCAGCCTTAGCTTGTAAACCAGGAAAAAAAAAGAAAGAATGGCCAAGATTCAGCCTTTACATTTTCCATATGTAGCACTATTTTCCAGACCCAGGTTATTTCTAGTTTGCAGTATAATTTGTCTCCTTGATTTACAAGATGTTCAGAAATATGGCTCAGTTCCATGTGGGTTTCTTCCCACTATCAACAAAGGCATTACACTATTATGTTAGTTTCTCTATTTACGTTTGTTTAAAGTTTACGAGTTAAATACTTTCACCATGTTCCCAAACAGAAAAGAAACATAGCTTATTTAAGCTGATTACTGTCCTTTGCCAGTTAACATGCTCTTTTGTTGTTGTTGAGTTTGAGATGGGATCACGATGTACCTCAGGCTGTTTTTGAACTTGTGATTCTTCTGTCTCCAATGTCAAATGTTAGGATTTTAGGTGAGTGTCACTGTACCTGGCTAACATGCTATTTTAACCCAGTAAATTTGTTCTAACAACTTAAACCCTATTAGTGTTTTATATAAAGAATGTGGCTGGGTGATGGTGGTGGCCCATGCCTTTAATCCCAGCACTGGGGAGGCAGAGTCAGGCGGATCTCTGTGAGTTTAAGGCCAGCCTGGTCTACAGAGTGAGATCCAGGACAGGCACCAAAACTACACAGAGAAACCCTATCTCGGGAGGCGGGGGAGGGGGAAGAAAAAGAAAAAAGAAAAAAAAGAATGTGTGTCTATGCCCATCCACATATTACTTATATTTATATTTATACTTCAGTTTCTTGGGTCTTTCATCCAGGATCTTTCCTTTCTCTTCTATGAGAATCCTTCAGAATTTTCTTCAGAGCTTGGCCAGCAATAAAATATCTCAGGTTCTGTTATGTTTAACATTTCTTTAATTCATTTCTTTTATTGATAGTTTTCTTGCATAGGAAAAATCTTCCAGATTGACAGCCTTTTGCTTGGTCAACTGAAGATCCAAGCCCAGAGTCTCTTGACTCTTCTCTTGTGTTTGAGAAGATTGTTATAAGTGTACGGGCTACTTCTGTGTCCATCTGTTCCTAGCATCTCTGAAGTGGCTGCATCTAACCTTCTTTAGTTCCTTAAGAAGTACCTATTTAGGGCTGGAGAGATGGCTCAGCGATTAAGAGCATTGGCTGCTCTTCCAGAAGACCTGGGTTCGATTCCCAGCACCCACATGTTGGCACATGACCAGTGTATCTCTAGTTCCAGGGGATCAGATGCCCTTTTCTGGCCTATGTGAGCATGGCACACATGTGGTCATAGACATAGTAAGCAAAACATGAAAGCAAGTCAGTCTTTTAAAAAATTAAGAAATGTAAGTACCTATTTACAATTTCCTGTATTGTTTCTTATGAGATTTGTTGGGTTTTCTAGATTTTAGGTTTAGTGTTGTTCAAGAATTCTGTAATTCCCCCTTTCCCCATCTTTTATGTCATCTACTTTTGGAAATATATATAGAACATCTTAGGTTAACTTTCTACTTGTTTAATGTTTCACTGTTTCTATTCTCGTTTTTCTGAGCTATATGACAGATTATTTATTCAGACCAATTTTCTAACTCACCAATGTTTGCTTCAACTGTCCTTGACCTGGTCACTGAATTCTTACTTTCTACACACACACACACACACACACACACACACACACACACACACACACACACAAGTTCCATTTATATATTTTAAAGATGTATTTTTTAATTGCATATGAATGAGTGTTTTGCCTGCATGTATGTATGCACACCTTGTATGTTCTTGGTGCTTGTGGAGGCCAGAAGAGGATGTTGGATTCCTTGGAATTGGAGATACAGCCAGTTACGAGCTGCCATGTAGGTGCTGGGAACTGAACCTGGGCCCTCTGTAAGAGCAGCAAGTTCTCTCAACCACTGAGGCATCGATCCAGCTCCCCAATTTACATGTTTTAAAAATCTGCATAGTGATTTTCCTAATCTCTTCTCCTTGATCGTATTTTCTTTTAGATTTTGGTTTTGGGAGCCAGGGTCTCTCTGTGTAGTCCCTGCTGCTGTGCTGGAACTCACTCTGTAGCCCAGGCTGGCCTCCAACTCAGATACCCACCTGCCTCTGCCTCCAGAGCGCTGGGATTAAAGGGGCGGACCACCATTCCTAGCTCTTCCTTGAGCATGTTTTCCAAGCTCTTAAAATGTTCTGACACAAGCTAAGACATTTATTTATATTTTTTTGCTAACCAATTCAGTAAGGGAGTATTTCTAGGCTGAGCTCTACTGTCTGCTCCTCTGCTGGCTTTTACTCATGATGAATCACTTCTTGATGTCGTAGCCGAAGCTACCTTTCTAGGTGTTTCCTTCTAGGGTTCTGAGTCTTATAGGGCTGTTGACTACTCTACCGGACCGGCCTTCTCCTTGCTCTGAACTTCCCCAGAGAAAGAGTTTCCTAAGGGATGAGCAATGCATGAAAGGATCGGTCATTGTTCCTCTCACAGGATCAAAAGCCAGATTAACCGGAAGTAAGAATATGAGAAAGGAGGAAGGTGCGATGGCGTGTACCAGGAGCATTGCAGAGGGAGAGGCAGGGAGCTCATTCCAAGTGTGAGGACACCTAGTCTGTTATATAGTCAGTTCTAGGCCAGCCAGCATTACATATTGGGACCTGTCTCAATTCCTCTTACTCCTCATAAAGAAAGAAAGAAAAAAAAAGAAATGCGCTTTTTTTTTTTTTTTTAAATAGGGTTTCATGTAGCCCAGGTTGGCTTCAAATTCCTTACTTAGTTGAGGATGACCTTGAACTTCTTCCACATCCTAAGTGCTAGGATTACAGGCATGTACTACCAAGCTGTTTATGAGGTGCTATCAGATACACCCAGGCCTTGTGCATCCTAGGTAAGTATTCTACCAACGTAGTTACATCCTCAGCCCTGGTTGGTAAACTTTTAACTAAATCAAGTTCTTTGCCATCTGTATTTGGGTTCAACTTAAGGAGGGATTTTCCTGTGGTCATAGGCCCACATGAGCTCTCATGAGATAAGTAGTCCCTTCCGCATTTGGTTACTAAGCTATTCCTACAGCCTCCCCTGGAAAGCAGGGGTCCCAGTGAGTGAGACTACCCAATGCTTCTGAACGCACCAACCTGTGAGGGTCATCTGGATCACAGTTAGGAAGAAACTGAGTGATTGCTTCTGCTACTTCTTCATTTGATAAAACATCCCAGAGTCCATCGGTAGCCAAGATCAGCACGTCATCTGCTCCATGCTCATATTGGGAGAGATCGTAGACTCTTACCTGAAAAGAACAGGGAGACTGCAATGTGAGAAGTGGAGAGAGAGGGTGGGTGGGTGTTATTTTTTTTTCTTTCGTCTCTAACCAAGCAGCTTCTGATTCCTTGCTTTTTTTTCTGGTCTGTCTTATGTTCTTTCACCCTCGATATCTGACTCCAGGTTTTCATTGTTGAGACTAAGATTGCACTTCATGCTTACTATTTTTCATTGACGCGCTACAAGGTACTTGATTTCATAGCAAGCTTTGTAGAGTAGGGAGCCTCTTTCTGGGACTTGCTTATAAACACTTAGGCCTAGTCCCAACTGTGAATGGGGCCCGGAAAGGACTTAATAATTAACAAGAAAGATATGAGTTGAAAATGTAACGCTTGAGAAGTGATGAGTTACACGTGGACATAGTGTAAGTCACGATGAGCATAGAGCTCGCCTGCTCAGCTTCCTCCGCATATATTAAGAACCATCCTTTTCCAATTGCTATAAATATAAAGTTAAAAAAAAGTAGATTCTTCCATTTTAAGAAACAGTCTGTCGAGGAGATGAAGTCCACTTGGGATTTTAAGAAATGGCTCCATATGTATTTATTAAGGACTAAAGGAGACACACTTTGTTTAATACATAATCTATTTGAAATATTCTTGCCTATTTCCTCTGAGGCACAATGGGTCACAACCCCCCCCCCCCCCCCCCCGTAAGAATGAGGTGCTGATGTCACACTCGGGGTTGACAAAACCCAATCTGGGCGAGTTTACAAAGGACAAAAGCTCAAACTGCATTTCCAAAGCACGCCGTCGGACAGGACAGGTTTTCTACCTTTTCTCATCTCAGAGTCTAAGAAACTCGTTACAAGGGACAGACCATCCCTCGAAAGCTAGAAAGAATTAAGAAGCAAGTCTCCTTAGGGCGAGACTGAGTGCACAACAGGATGCTTGTCCTACCTGGACAGGGTTGGTGGGGGCCAGGGAGGAGCAAAGAGGAGTTGGGGGTTTCAGAGCCCCTCCTTCCTGATCTGCAGAGTCTCCCTGCTTACACTACTACTTCATGGAGTGAGGACAAACATCAATTTAGTGACTCACCAACTTCCCCTCTCTCCATTCCTTCACCCTGCGGGCCTGGAGAAAGCACTGGGGTAGGGGTGGGAAGAGGCAAAGAGAATGTGGCATAAGCGGCTGCTCTGCTGTCCCTCCACACTGCTTACACTGGTGGCACCTGGTCATCTCAGGCATAGAGAATGGGATTCTAGGAGGTCGACCAGATGGCTCAAATCCAGTCTTTGTTCTAGAACGGTTTGTCTAGGCCAGTGGCATCCCTCAGGGACTGGTCCTATGGGGAAGCAGACCACCTGGTGGGGTGCCTCAAACTAAAAGAATGCTTAACCTTGGTAAACCAGCTCAAATGAAAAGCACCCACAGGTCCAGGCTTCTCTGGCTCGTGGATGAGACAGTCACAATTAGCTAATGGCCCAGCACCTGACGCCACCCCCAGGGAAAGAAGACTCAGTGGCATACTCTGTCGGCTTTTAAATATTTATTTATTTATTTCCTCAAAAGGCATGCTTCCTTAGGGCTGAGCTGACATTCTGGAGAAAACACTGAGCCTTCTGAGCAAGTGGGGTTGGGGTCGGCAAAGCCTAGAAGGGGAGAACTTGAGTTTTCACATAATCCTTCCTCAAGCCATTCAGGTGTTATTTTCCTTCCATGGGAGGCAGCCCCCCCCCCCCCTGCTTTATTTTCGGTGGTTGCTGGGTGTGTCGGAGCCATGTTTCCACAAGTGTTCGTGTGTAGACCAGTCAGCCAGGAAGCCTGAGCACTTAGAGATGTAGGAACCGGCAGTTCTCTAGGTGATGATATCAGAGGTGCAAATACTTGGGCCACACTTTGAGTAGCAAGGTCACAGGAGTCCTACTGACCCTGGAAATCAAGGACTCTCTAGACTCTGTGGTGCTAGATGCAATTAGTTTCCTAAGAGTATGGGAAGAACAGTACATGTCACTTCTGGGCTCCCAACTCCAAGTCCTACCTCACCATGTTAATTCCATGATGTGTTAAATGAGGGCTGGCTAGCTTTGCACTGGGGCTGATCAACATGGAGCTGCTGTGATCATCGGAGCTCCACCAAACAGGAAAATAGTAGGTAACGGGGGAGGTGGAGAACATCAGACGTCTGTAGCTAAGGGGAGTTTCCATTTGCTTTTCATTCCTAAAATCGATGCTTCCAGATCTGAAGACAATACTGTCTCAGGATCTACCCCATGAACAGGGTGCCCCAAGGGCTTCAAAAAATGCTTTTTGTTGGTCCAAGAAGTGGCAGGTTGATCCCTTCAGTCTGAAATTAGCCTACCCCAGTCACGAAACGGAAATCGGGCCAACAGAACCATGCGGGTTCATACCAACATGTTTGAAAATGCTGCTCTTCCATTCCATCCATAATTGGAATCTTCACCAGTTCTATTCACATTTCTACTTGCAGCTCACTAACGTGGTTTCATTAGCCAGCATGAAAAATCCCTCTCAATACCATTTTCCACACAATTTTTATGTAAATAATACAAAGCCGGTAGCAATCCCATCCCCTGAGGCGCTCCTCAATTAACAGCCTTTTAGGTTTTTTTTACTGCTATCCTTTGTTTCCTGCCCTTCAGCCAATTTCCAAAGGACTTTGCCAACTTTCCACTTACGGCTCATGTCTTGTCCATTAACCCATGATGCAGAACACTCTGTGAAAATGCTTTCAGGAAAATTGGACCGGCGTGCAAGCCATCCCGTTCTGCACCGACGCTTGCCAGCGACCAGGGCTTCGGTGGGCTAGAGTGATCCTTGTAGACCCACTTCTTCCCTTCCTGAAGCTGCTGTTGCTCTTTCTTAATCAGAAACCCCCCTTTCCCTCCCCTTCCTTTCCCTCCCCCCTCCCCCTCCCCAAGGTTCCTCTGTTCACTTCCTGAAATAGCTTTTCACGTTCCCGGAAGCCTCGCGTGAATCCAGTGGGCTCCGCGGCTCCGCAGCACTAAGACATCTGGAAGAGCATCACTCCAGGACCCTAAGGGGCGAGCTGCAAGGTGCATCGAGGAATGAACACCTTGGGGGAAGGAGGCTGAGTGCTCCTAATGGCTGCCCCTCCTTGTTCCAATCTACAAAGAGAGCCTTGGGAGTCCAAGTCAGAGTGGTACACGGATGTTCTTTGACTTAAGAAAGGGGTTATGTCCTGAGCGACTCCTTGTTAAATTGAAGACGCGGCAGGCTCAAGATGCACTTAGTACACATAACCTATGATACATCACCGCTGAGCAATTCTCTCTCCTGTGGCTGTGTCGGCCCAGGCACTGGGTCCCAATGCCACTGCCCAGCACTGGGTAGAGAATATTATTACATATTACACTTCATCCTGCTAGCCAGGTGAAAGATCAGAATTCAAAATACAGTTGTATACCGCCATTGAATGAATTGGTTCCAAATCAAACCAGCCAAGCCAAAGGCCATCTGTTATCTACACAGCTGAGGGATCATGACTACCGATCTCCTGGCTACAAGTACCTCTGGGCGTCGGCTGCCGCTAGGAGATAGAGCTGATGGACTCCTCTGCCTTGATGACCTACGTCATCATCTAACTACAGACCCGTTCATAAGACACTGGTTTCATAGTGTGATCCAACAGGCGTAGCTTGCTGACACTGGCATGCCCAAATCGTTACCAAAATGCAATAGGCTCTTTATGCAGAAGTGGGAGGCTCTTGCATTCCCCTCTCCTATACTCAAGAAACACACTCAGTGCATGCTAAGGGGAATGAGTTGGAGGACAAGAGTCTTGGCTAACATGCTCTGGATGAACCAAAATGCCGACAGCTCACAGAGCTCCCGCTTTCCGGCATTTAGAGACGGCCTTACCGCCATCAGTGACACCCACTCGACACAGAAGCATGTGTCTCTTTAATACAGTTCCTCCAGTTAGTGCTTGGCTGTAGACCGCTGCGCTTCAGCATTTGTGTGCTCTGTACCCCCTCTCTGTCCAATGACTGATGGTTTGGTGGCATACTAAGAGATCACAGTACTGTAAGAACTGCAGCCGACTCCACTTTCTCACAAGTCTTTGGGACTTTATTTGAGCTAGGTCTCCCGTAGCCCAGGCTGGCCTCGAACTCACTATATGTCGTTGAAGATGACTTCGAGCTTCTGATATTCCCGCCTTGACCTCATGAGTATAAGTGCTGGGATTACAAGTATGCACCACCATGCCTGGTTTTGTGCAGCATTGCCGTGCTGGGGATTGAACCCAGGGCCGTGTGCCAGCCAGGCCAGCACGGCCCCAGCTGAGCTAGACAGCCTGAGATCATTTCTTTTTTAAACTGGAAAACAAATTATGTTTGCTCTGCCCTTCTCGCAAAGCTGCTCTGGAGATCACGGGGGAGGGGAACTGAGTGGATGACCGCCTTCACGGCTCTGGTCTCAAAAGTGGCAACACCAAGGTTAGGCTGCTGGGTGGGAACTAAGGGATGAGAGCGTGCTCCGGGAACCTGGAGTTCCATTCCAAAAGTCTCATTTACGATAATAATGATGAGGACTCCCAAAAGCGTCACTGCCGAGAGAGCCAGAGTTAGTTCAGAAGATAAAGACCGCCAAGGGTCAGTGGGAAATAAAAGCCGAGCAAAGTCTCATACTAGCCAATCCCAAACCGGAACTTATACAGTGCTTGTACCAGAAGACACACGCCAGCCTTTCTCCTGGTCCTATGACTCAAACAGATTGTCTTAAGATGGACACTGGGTCACGCCACCAGAATTCTCTATGAAGAGCCAGGTGTGGAGACTCAAGCCTGTAAGCCTAGTATTTGTGGTGCTGAGGCAGAAGGATGGATAGGAGTTTGGGGCTAGCCTAGGCTATGCAGTGAGCTCTAGGCTAGCATGGGTACAAAGTGAGACATCTCAAAAAAAAAAAAAAGTTCTAAAAGATGAAAATTCCTAGTCCACCCTAGAATTAATGCAACATTTCTGAAACTGTGAGTCACGACCCTGTA